TCCATGATTGCATCTTTGAGGCCAAAGCAGAAAAAATGTGTGAGAAATGATGAATCTATCTGATTGCAGCCGATTTAATGTTTAATACCTTCATTAAAAAAAAGGTTGTTGACAGTGCTTTGACTATCTTGCAGATTATAATGGGAAAACCAGCAGGTGGCCCTAGTAAGAAAGATCAGCTTGCAGGGATGGATGAGAACTAATTTTGTGTGTATGACAATTGACTATCTTTGCTTGTATTGCTCTATATTGGAGATCTTTTGTTCCATTTTAGGAGAAAAAGAAACATATTGCAGTTCATGCTTTGTAAATGCCACTCTTCTGTTACGATGGACACGTGGTATGCCCTTGTTGGGTAGGTTTGGATTGAAACCATGGTCGAGTGCTTGAGCCATGTTTAGTGAGAAAGGTTGAATGGATTTTCTTTTCTGTTGTATTTGGCCCTTCTCTTTTCAAGCATGCCAAAAATCATCCTAGTTTTGTAATATGTGGTTTGTGCCCAATTAATTTACCGTGGATCATGCATTTTTGTACCCAATATTTGATAGCTGCCTTCTTTTGAACGAAGATTCATTGAGGGAGAGAATTACTTTCCTTTTGAATATGAATCGATGTGCATCTCCAACTATCATTTGATAGGTCAACATCAATTCATGCTAATATAAGGATGGATAACAATTGTCGTGTCCATGAGATTTGAATTCAGGATTACTTTCAACGAAGTGGGGACTCTGTTATTAGACCAAATGGCCATTGACATACGATATAATAGAAATATTAGGCCAATATACGTACACTATAGAGGCAATATTAGAGCAATATAACCACAATACGATAGCAATAGTATTACAATATACATCCAATAGGGTGGCAATATGCATACACTATTTATACAATACAAAGGCAATATTAAGACAATAGACATACAATAGAACACCAATATTAAGTGAATCTACATACAATAAACACACATCCATTACAGACTACATTTAACACAAGCAAAATAAATCGCCACCGAACCGTAACAATACTATCCCGCGAAGGGAAAAGGAAGGCAACAAAAGATCCATGTACTCGGGTGAGATGAACTGAAGCAGCACTCACCCTTACTAGAGGTCCATCAAAAGATCCATGTCTTTGTCCTTCCTCCTCGCTGCATGCACGAGGCTATGATGAGCCATTCCCTCTACACCCATATTCAGCACCTCCCAGACACCAGCTACATCAATTTCACCCCAATTGTAGTCTAGTGAGATGACCGAAGCATAATCTCGGAACATTTTGAAGCCGTTGTTGAAACATTCAACCATTTCATGGTTATATTCTTCAGATTTTGTGAATTTTTCGACGGCATATTTCTTTTTCTCTTCCAATTTTAACTTCAGGGACTCTAACTCTATGCTCCGACTTTTTGCTTTTAGAGTTTGCTTCACTTCTCCAGCATATGCTTTGTTCAACTTGTTGGCCAAGTTTCCCATAACTTGGCCATGAATATCGCATTTACTCTCCCACCAATCTGTTGCCTTAGACAAATATTGGAGGTCGTGCTTGACGGTAGAGATTTTGTCAAGCGGATCATTGCTCTCAGCCTTACTTCCAGATGAAGTGGGATCGTGATTGGGAGTCAGAGGTGGAGATGGGAATGGCACATGCCACGGCTGGTCCCCCGGGTAACTGACATGCTCGTTTGGAGGGCGTACATCCGACATCTTTAAGTATTGCTGGGGACAATTCACAGCTGCTGACTGCAACAAAACAAATAAAGGTACATTCAGTCTCCAGTTGTAAACAACAATATGGTTAGCTTTAGTGGAGAATGTTTGCCTTTGAGTAAAACAAATAAAGGTACATTCAATCATATCCATAAAATCTGTCCCTACTTCACCTCCCACATCAGTGACATTTGTATTATTCTAAGTTACTTCATTGCTTTCAACAATGGCAACTGAAGAACGACCCATCTGACTACTATCTGTCGTGATATGCATACTATCAACTACATCATTTGTCAGTCCTTTATCTTCTATACTCACGAGTAAGGGAGCTAGTTTTGAAGGTGTTACCTCATAATTGTACTTCATAAAAAAATTGACATCATCATCGTCCTCAATCTTTATGTGCTTCCACTCATTCGAGGCCACCAAAACTGAAAACTTTAAGCAAACCTTGTCTTCCCTACTGTTTGTATTACCAATTTGATGCACATGGTCCAACGGTTCAGCAAATTTGATGGTCCGTGGAACTATTAAGCCTTTTGAGTCACCCCCTTCGTATTTGCACATCTTCTTCGAGATGACCCATTTTCCATTGTAGCACACGAGAATAACAATTGTCTCCATTTCTGACCATGACAAAACAACATTTTATTAACACAATATAGCCACAATAACCAGGCAATACAATGGCAATATCATAGCAATATAACAGCAATATAATGGCAATATAACAGCAACGTAACAGCAATACGACAGCAAAATAACAGGAATATAACAGCAGTACACCACTAACACAGCAGTGAATAAGAATTCATCAGAATCACACTATACAAATCTACTACATCAAATGGAAAATCCCAAGTTTCAAGATTCACATATCCAGACCAATCTAAATGCAATTGGTACAAACCCAGATGAATGAGCATGAATATTCAACAAAACCTAACCCAAAGCAATTAAAGCCAAAACGAATTTAACACAAACCCAAGCAATCAAAATATAACCCATTTCACATAATCCCACTGATATTAAGAAAATAACCATCAACACTACCTTTTCGAGGTCGGCAATCCACTAGAGCTTCAAGGTTGCAAGCAGCTATTCAGAAGACATACCTAAACTATGGGGTCAAGGGAGGGGTTCGCGATTCCAAACAGAGAGCAAGAGAGCGAATAGGGGAGAAAGAGACAGAACGAAGCTAGAGAGAGAGACAGAGAGAGAAAGAGCTACGCTAGAGAAAGAGAGCAAAGAGAGAGACAGAGAGTTGCGCTAGAGAGAGAGAGCCAATAGAGAGAGAGCTGCGATAGACAGATACCAAAGAGAAAGAGAGCTATGCCAGAGAGAGAGAGAGCCGAGTGAGCTAAGAGAGAACAAAATTTCTGAACATGTGAAAAATCAGCAATAAGTGGACAATAATTATATATTTATAGGTGATAGTTGTAAAAAAAATTGGGAAGGGGTGGTATTTTTAATTAAAATTATGAAAAGGGTGGCATTTTAAGCTATTTCCCTAAAAAAAAAAATCTGACAGTACGCTTGGAACGATGCTTAAAATAAAATAATAAGAGGATGTTGCTTCACGGTCGGTCTCAATTGGTAAAATTCTTCCATTTGGTCTTTTGGTCTTGTCATTGCAAAAGCACTGCCCCCCACTCCTTGTAGAGAGCGGGGCTTTCTTATTTCATATATTCATACTAATTATGCTTGTGTTCATACATTGACTCTATCATTCTTACTCTGTCATGTGCAGAAAGAGTGCTTCCATTATAGCATTCATTGAACCAAACCTTCTTTTAGTTTTGCTTTTGCTTTATTACTTCTCAAATTTCAAAATCTAAACAAGAAAAAAATAATAATAATATAAAAAAAGAAAGAAGGAAAGAGGTATATTGCGTTTGAAGGACACGCCTGGACGTGAAAACTCCAGTGTTTTATAACCAAGGGACTGTTGATTATTGGCTCAAATTGCACCCACGTGTGTTGATAGTTTCTTCATGATGGCTGCCACACTAGCCATCACATGGCCAAAGGAAGATTTGTGTCAGCCGACCAAATATTGTGGGTGGATGCTGTCAAGTGGTGGCAGCAGCTTTGGAGGAGAATAACAACCTTGCAGAGCCTTTGCAGAGGAATATAGAAGCTTTGGCAGAAGATGGGAGCACGTGGGAGCCAAAAGCCATGCAAACTTGGCTGGCTTTCTGACTTCATAGTTGGCCTCATAATTTGACTAGCTGGCCTTCACCCGTTGGCTTCTCTATAAATTGAGAAGCATGGCAGCAGCTGAGGAAAAGGAGTAGAGGGAGAGAAACAGCAAGAAGCCATTCGGCAGAGAGAAGAAAATTCTCTCAAGTTGTCTTTGCTTTGTATTTTCAGTTTCTCTTCCTATTGTAAATGTGTGCGCTTGGGTTATTTGGGTCTTTGGGAAATTGAGTGATAAACACTGTTGTATGTTCTCATTGATTATAGTGGAATACTCCGTCGTCTCCAAACTGGATGTAGGCATTGCAGAACCAGTATAAATCTTGGTGTTCTTGTTGGTGTTGTTTGTGTTCATTTTATCTCCTGCTAGTTGTGATTATTTTCACTCGCACTTGGTTGACGCTTCCGCACAACAGGGACTTGAAGAGCAACTACCCTCAGAAGAGATATAATTAAGGAATGAAACATAATTACAAATTTTTTTAAAGATGGAGTTCAAAGCTCACTTGGTACGATTTTATTTATACATTCAAAGCTCACTTACAACTTGTAAGAGCATTCATTCATATTGGGAGGTGTAAAATCTAAAGCGTAAGGCCACTTTTACATTCTTGTTACACATTCATATAGTGTAAATGTGATTTTTCACTCCAATTAAGAATATGTAAATACAATATTTATGTATATTCAATTTTCTTGTGTTTACCTTCTTACTAATGGAATTCTAAAATTTTTAATTCAGAAAAGAAATAATTTTTAATCCAACAAGCACTGTAGTGTATTGATGGAGGAATTTTCTTCATTGCAGCAACCAGTTTTTGTATTATTATCCGGATTTGATATAATAGCTCCTGTGTCTTCATTATTACCACTCTCACTGATTGTCTCCTTCGCATGCACTTTCAGTTTCTTCATTGCAGCAACCTTCAGTTTCTTCATTGCAGCAACCAGTTTTTGTATTATTATCCGGATGACTCATGTTCCTGAATATAAAAGGGGTGAATTCTTTGATTTTGTAATAGCTAACATGTGATAGCTAAGGACAGGGTTTCATACATGAAATATAATAATATATATGTGTTGGTTACATATAATATAATAATATATGTGTAACTTGTTGGTCACATAAGGACAAAAAAAGGGTTGGACCAGAACAAGATCAGAGAAAGAAGCGTGAACATACCGATGGCCACACTAGAACACAAATCAGAGAGAAAAGTGTGAGAAACAGAACCAAAATTCGAGAACAATACCACCACCACGACCACACCAGATGAATTAAAGAATCTGGGCTTCTTTATTTATATATGGGTGAAGAAGAAGAAGAAGAATTGATGAAGAAGTAGAAGAAGAATTGATGGGTGGTAGTCGGCACTTTGCTTCTTTATTTATATAAAGAAGAAGATCTGCAGGAAAAGATCTTCAAAGTTTCAAAAGAGGTAAGGCAAACATTCTGTGTTGTTCAAGACTTCAAATTTGTGTCGAATTCTAATTTTTCCCGAAAATTATACCTAAAACGTCTCGTATCTGTCTTGTTCCTTCGATGAAAGAAATTTAAAAAAGTTGCAGAAATTAAAACACTACTAAAACGAAAAATTAAAGGAAAACTGTGGCCCAACTATTCTTTTTGTTTCGAGATTTGAGAGTCGTGCATTTTGTTTCACTTATCTTCATTACACTTTCACTTTACAGTTGTTTCCAGAAGAAGCTTAATGAAAAAACGAAAAAGAAGTGTTGCAGACTAATACTCTGTGTTCTTCTATTTAAGCTTAGTCTCATAAGCTAAGGTATGTCCTGTAGTTTCCTTCTTTCATTTCAATTGGTTTAATATTTTTTCTTTTACTCTTTTTCATTTTCTTGTTTTTGGGTTCGTTTATTCAACAGATACAAGAGTCTCATTGCAAAAGCAAAACAAAAAGAACCATGGAGATCCTCACTGGAACTATTCCTAAAATATTCGAGTATACAGTTGAACCAATTGGGCGACAAGTGGGTTATCTAATTAACTACAAAAGCAACCTTGAAAGTCTGAGGAGTCAATTGAAGAACTTAGATGCTGCCAAAGACCGGATGAAGCATAGGGTTGATGAAGTTGAAAGAAATGGTAAAGGAGTAGAAATTGATGCCCAGAACTGGAGAAAAGAAGCAGATGGGATCACTCAAGAGGCAGAAAAGATTTTGGGAAATGAAGGCCAAGCAAAGACAAAGTGTTTCCGTGGAGTATGTCCTAATATCGTTTCGTATCATCAGTTTAGCAGGAAATCAGCAAAATTGGCAAAAGAGATTGAACTACATGCAAAAAAAGAGTTTCCCAGTGTTTCTTACGATCCTCCCCTGGAAGAGATATGTGCCACGCCGTCACAAAACTACATGGCCTTTGAATCAAGGATTTTAATGGTGAATGAAATCATGAAGGAACTGAAAAATCCTGATACCAACATGATTGGGGTGTACGGATTGGGTGGTGTTGGGAAGACCACACTCGCCCAAGAAGTTTATAGACAAGCTATGAAAGAGAACTTATTTGATGAGGTGGTTATAGTCTTGGATGTGAAAAAGTATCCAGACCTGGAAAAGAAGGAAAGAATTCAAAAAAAAATCGTTGAAAAGTTAGGTATGGATGTTGATGTAACTCATGATATCGAAGCGAGAGCAAAGCATCTATGGAATAGAATAAAAGACAAGAACATTTTTGTAATTTTAGATGATGTCTGGGAAGCAATTGATTTGGAGGCTTTGGGACTTCGTCCAATGGTGACTTGTAAAATATTGTTGACGTCCAGAGATCGAGTCTCTGATATGAGTATGCAAAAAGAGTTTCAGCTTGAAGTTTTAGGCATGGAAGAAAGTTGGAGTTTATTTGAGAAGATGGCAGGTGACGTTGTTCAGAATGACCGTATACATGAAGTAGCAATTGAAATAGCCAAAAAATGTGGAGGTTTGCCGGTTTTAGTTGTTGCAGTTGCAAGGTCTCTAAGATCAGCCTCTACTTTAGAGGAATGGAGAGTTGCCTTGAGGGGCTTCAAAAGTTTTGACGAACAAGGATTGGCAAAATCAGCCTACTTGGCTTTAGAATGGAGTTACAATCAATTGGATGGGAACGAGCTTAAGCGAGTGTTCTTGCTATGTGGAATTATTGCAGGGGGTAGCTGTATAATTTTTCTGAGTGACTTGTTGAAATATGCTATGGGTTTGAGTTTAGTGAAAAATGTTGATACAGTGGAAGAGGCACGAGATAAATTGATTTCACTACTTAAAAAACTTATTAAAGATTATTGTCTGTTGCTAGACATTAATGATGATGGAGATTTTAGAATGCATGAGCTTGTACGAGATGTTGCTATCGGGATTGCATTTAAAGATAAGTATGTCATTGCAAAAGCATATGGAGATGAGCTGAAAGAATGGCCAGATAGGGATTCCCTTAAAAAATGCACTGCGATCTCCTTAAAATCTTGCAAGATCCCCAGACTTCCTGAAGTACCTTGGGTATGCCCAGAATTGAGATTTATTGTTTTGGAAAATCATAATATTGATGACTCCTTGGAAATCCCAGGCAACTATTTTGAAGGGATGAAGGAACTCAAAGTGTTGGATGCAACCAGACTGCGAATTCCGTCACTGCCTCCATCTCTTCAATCCCTAACAAATCTTCAAACTTTGTGTTTAGATCATTGCGTGTTGGGGGACATAGCTCTAGTTGGACAGCTAACAAACTTGAAAATTCTTAGCCTTGTACACTCCCAGGTTAAAGAGTTGCCCAAAGAAATAGGGCAATTGACTCATCTACAATTGTTGGATTTGACTGGTTGCTCTGAACTTGTACTGATCCCACCTGGCGTTATATCAAGCTTGACAAGTCTAGAAGACTTGAGAATGGGAAGCTTTAAGGAATGGGAAGGAGGTTTAATTGATGGAAGAAGTAATGCGAGCGTGTCAGAGCTGAAACAATTGCGTCAACTAACAGCATTGGACATACATATTCCAGATGCTAAGCTTCTTCCAGCAAACATGTTCTCGGATACAAGGTTAGAAAGATACACCATACTTATTGGTGATTGTTGGCCTAGATATCCTAGAATTTACGGAACCTCCATGTTAAAACTCAAGCTCACTTCTAACAGTCAATTCGACCAAGGTATAAAATTGCTGCTAAAGAGATGTGAAGATTTGGACTTGGATGGGATGAAGGCTGCAAATATTATTTCCTATATATTAGCAAGTGACAGTGGTAAACAACTGAAGAATCTCCATGTCCAAAACAATGATGAAGTTACATCTCTCATTAACTCGAGTCATGCCTTCCCCATTTTGGAGTCACTCTCTCTTTACAACCTTGTTAATTTGGAAACTGTATGTTGCGGCCAACTCATAGCTCAGCCCTTTCAACAGTTGCAATCTTTGACTTTGTGGAATCTGCCAAAGCTTAGTGGTTTCTCCTCCAAAGGCAGCAGGTCAGTTGTAAGTACAGAGGCCGAAGAAATCATTTTGGAGAATGAAATTGGTGGACCCGTGAAACTTTTCATGAATGAGGAGGTACGTTTTGCGGTTTCAATTGCGGATTTGTTCATTCTTTCTGCAGGTAGAAAATAATCCATTTAAATAATGCATATTCTTTCTGCAGGGATTATGTTGTACTAGGATAAATTATATCCAAGTTACAGTTCATTTAAAAGTATATTAATTTCTTAGTTTTTGATTGAGAAAGAAAAGGTATTAGCTTTTTTAATTAGTGTACAATATTCATATTATGACGAAAGCATAATTCATTCTCCAAATAATCAAATATGATCCTCAATAAAAATGTGTTGTCGGTAGCACTTCAATTAGAATATCTTACATTTTAAATTAATAGACTAATAAACTTTGAGGCCAACTTTTCTTTTTCAGAGACTTTTTGTCTGCTCATTTGGGAATCTTTACAACTGATGAGCATGTAAATTGTCATTTCCCTAATTAAACATATTCCTATACACAGGTTCTGATGCCCAACTTAACACGCTTGATCTTGCATCAATGTGATGGTTTAAAATTCTTGTTTTCATGTTCCATGGCTAGAAGGCTTCTGCAACTCGAACATATTGAGATATCGAAATGCCACATGATGGAAGAGATAGTATCAACAAGTGGATACAATCAAGAACATACAAATAACATGTTTTGCAATCTAAAATATCTAAAGCTGCAACATCTTCTAAGCCTCACTAGATTCTACTCCAGAAGTTATATTGAATTTTCATTATTGGAGACATTGCATATTGAGGATTGTCCTAGACTGGGGACATTCATCTTTGATAGAAAGAGTGAAATTACTTCAATGGGCAAAGAAAATGATGATAGGAGCTCCAAGGAGAATCTTGAGACTGTGATACCACACTTTCTTTTTGATCAAAAGGTGAATGATAAATTTCTTTCCCTTTCTTTATGCATTTATTTCCAATTAATGTGTCCGCCATTAGTGAAAAAAGGTTTATGAGATGAATATATATACAGGTAGGATTTCCTAGCTTGGAGAGCTTGATCATCTATGACATGCCTAAGTTGAGGACTATATGGCATTGCCAACTTGCCCCAGACTCTTTTCGAAAGCTCAAAAATGTTGGAGTTTTGAGATGCCACAATCTAATAAATATCTTTGCGCCAAGTATGATGGGAAGATTGAATGTTCTACACACATTGTGGATAAAGCAATGCAAATCACTACAAGTAGTATTTGAAGTGGGAGTAGTATTTGATGTTAATGACGCATACAACACATCGATGACTCAGTTGAAAACTTTTGAGTGCCCATCTGGATTTAGTTGTGATGGATTCGTGTGACAGTTTGAAAAATATCTTTCCACCCTCAGTGGCCAAAGGTCTTCAGCAGCTAAGCGAGCTGTACGTGGAGAATTGTGGAATATTGGAAGAAATTGTTGCCAATGACGGACTAGAAACGACACCTGAGTTTGTGTTATCTAAAGTAACACTTGTGCAATTGCAACGTCTGCCCCAATTGAGGAGTTTCTATCCCGGGCTGCATGTTTCCAAGTGGCCATCACTCAAATCATTAAGATTCTTTGAATGTTTCCAAGTAGAGATTCTTGCTTCCGAATATTCAATATTCCAAGAAAGACTTGATTTGGGTACACCAATCGAACAACCTTTTTTCTTAGTTGACAAGGTACATAATTCTCTTGCACTATTTGCTCTTGAAGGAAAATTCATCTTCATATATTTTCTTTACAATTTTTTTATCATTCAGTATTAGATTTTTCTTTTATTAAAATGATTTGTTGGCCTCCACCTTGTCAAAAATGTAAAGCACATCAGTCGAATAAAAACAATAGTCGAGGTTAAAGGGGGTAGGAATTTACTAATAGATATACTAAAGACATGTATACAACAAAATAAAGATTCGAAAATTTAAATAGAGAAAAAAGACTTGTGAAATTTAAAATAATTCAGTCGGTGACATCAGATGAATATAGTGTCACCAAGGATTTAGGAACACCTTGGTCACCTGCCATTAGATCTCATCCAACAGTAAATAATGATTCAAGCCTTAAATAATTTAAAAAACACTTCCCGAAATTTCAATTATACCAACAAAAATAATAATAATAATAATAATGCTTAAACCCACTTACTCCTTTCACTATCTCACCTTTCCCTTTCACTCTTCAAAAATGCCTCCTTTCTTTTTTGTGTAGGATTCCCCAGTAGAGTACATTAAATCACCGAATACGATTATATAAAGAAAAACTGAATAAACATTGAATTTAGCCAAGAAACGAAAAACCCAAAGAAAATCACAAAAATCAAAACTGGAAATTGACAAGGGACTGAGGGAGAACAGAGGCCAAGTTCTTTTTGGAGTGGGGAGTGAAAGCAGCTGAGCAAGGGTGAGGCATAATTTCCCTTCCGTATAAATTATAGTTGAAGTCAGTAGCATATTTGAGGTTTTTAAAAATAATTAATATGTTTTTTTTTTATAAATTTAATTAAGGCTTGAATCATTATTTGCACTTGGATGAGATCTAAATGCAGTTGACCTCAGTGTTACTTGGTCCCTGGTGACCAGGTGAATGCTACTGAATATAGTATTTAGTTATGCAACTGGCCAAGTGGGTTGACAATGACATCCAGACGTTGATATTGTTTCAGGGTAATCCATTCCCCAACTTGGAAAGTTTGTATTTGTGCAAGAACACGGAGATTTGGTATGAAGCGCATGATCCACTCGGACGAAGAAGTAATGCGAGCTTGTCAGAGCTGAAACAATTGCATCAACTAACAGCATTAGTGATACATTTTCCAGATGCTAAACTTCTTCCAGCAAACATGTTCTCGGATACAAGACTAGAAAGATACACCACAGTTATTGGTGATTGTTGGCTATTTCCTGATATTGACGAAACGTTCTCTAACATGTTAAAACTCAAGCTCACTACTAACAGTCAATTCGATCAAGGTATAAAATTGCTGCTAAAGAGATGTGAAGATTTGGACTTGGATGGGATGGAGGCTGCAAATATTATTTCCCATATATTAGCAAGTGACAGTGGTAAACAACTGAAGAACCTCCATGTCCAAAACAATGATGAAGTTACATCTCTCATTAACTCGAGTCATGATCATGCCTTCCCAATCTTGGAGTCACTATCTCTTTACAACCTTGTTAATTTGGAAACTGTATGTTGTGGCCAACTCATAGCTCAGCCTTTTCAAAAGTTACGATCTTTGACTTTGTGGAATGTGCCAAAGCTTATTGGTTTCTCCTCCAAAGGCAGCACGTCAGTTGAAAGTAGAGAGGCCGAAGAAATCATTTTGGAGAATGAAATTGGTGGACCCACGAAACCTTTCATGAATGGGGAGGTACGTTTTGCGGTTTCATGTGCCCAGCCCTTCTACATATCATTCGGATTTGTTCTATATTTATTTCTTAACAAATTAGTTGCTTTTGTATATATTTCATTTTGGTCATTCTTTCTGCAGGTAGAAAATAATCCATTTAAATAATGCATATTCTTTCTGCAGGGATTATGTTGTACTAGGATTGAAATTATTTCTAAGTTACAATTCATTTAAATGGTATATTAATTTATTAGTTTTTGATTGAGAAAGAAAAGGTGTTAGCTTTTAAATAGTGTACAATATTCAATGATTCATATTATGACGAAAGCATGACCCATTCTCGAGTCTATTTATAATGAAATATGATCTTGAATAAAAATGTGCACTTAAACGGTATATTAATTATTAGTCTTTATAGAGAAAGAAAAGTTTTTTTTTTTTCCATTTTGGATTCTATACAACTGATGAACATGTAAATTGGCATTTCTGTAATTAAACATGAATTGTGTACTATACACAGGTTCTAATGGTCAATTTAACACACTTGATCTTGCATCAATGTGATGGTTTAAGATTCTTGTTTTCGTCTTCCATGGCTAAAAGTCTTGAGCAACTCGAACATATTGAAATATCGAAATGCCAAATGATGGAAGAAATAGTATCAACAAGTGGATACAATGAAGAACATACAGATAGCATGTTTTGCAATCTAAAATCTCTAAAGCTGCAACGTCTTCCAAGCCTCACTAGATTCTACTCCGGAAGTTATATTGAATTTTCGTTATTGGAGAAATTGCATATTGAGGATTGTCCTAGATTAGGGACATTCATCGTTGATGGTAAGAGTGAAATTACTACAATGGGCAAAGAAAATGAGGACAGGAACTCCAAGGAGAATCTTGAGACTGTTATACCACACTTTCTTTTTGATGAAAAGGTGAATTATAAATTTTTTCCCCTTTCTTTATGCATTTATTCCAATTAATATGTCCCCTATTAGTTAAAAAAAGGTTTACTGACTAGTTTATGAGACGAATATATATACAGGTAGGATTTCCTAGCTTGGAGAGGTTGATCATCCATGACCTACCTGCACTGATGACAATATGGCACAACCAACTTGCTCAAGACTCTTTTTGTAGACTGAAAGAAGTTAATGTTTATAGATGCCACAATCTAATAAATATCTTTGCACGAAGTATGATAGGAAGATTGAATGCTCTATACACATTACAGATATGGCAGTGCCAGTCACTACAAGTGGTATTTGAACTCGGAGGAGTATTTGAAGCATATGATACGTCAACCACTCAATTGAAAACTTTTGAGTGCCCAAATCTTGATTTTGTAGAGATAGATGCGTGCGAGAGGTTGATAAATATATTCTCAGCCTCTGTGGCCAAAGGTCTTGAACAACTAACGAAGTTGAGTGTTGAGAATTGTGGGTTGATGGAGATTAATGGGAAGGAGAAAGGATCAGGAGCAATGCCTTTGTGTTTCCAAAAGTAACACTTGTGAAGTTTGAAAATCTCCCCCAACTTAGGATGTTCTATCCGGGTATGCATGTTTCTGAGTGGCCGTTACCCAAAGAACTGGTGATGACTGGATGTGATAATGTGGAGATTTTTGCTTCCGAAATTTCAAGGTTTCAGGAAAAGCTTGAATTGGGCCTTCAGTGTACACCAATTAAACATCATTTCTTTTTAGTTGAGAATGTAAGAATTCTCTTGCACAATTTTATATATTTTTATTTTGTATGAGATTCAACTACTAAAAATGTAATTAAGTTGTTATTTACTAAACATGAATTATGGTGTGCAGGTTCTGATGCCCAACTTAACAAGCTTGGTCGTGCGTGGATGTAGTGGTTTGAGATTCTTGTTTTCATCTTGTTGAACTTTTTATGAATATTTCAAGATACAAAAATTAATCTATCTAATTTACGTTGGCAATGAAATTCTAAATGTTTGGTTTAACTCTATTTTATGAAAATTGTAAGCTAATTTCATATTGGTTTTGAATGATTTGGACATTAGCTTTGTCGGTTTTGATATCTCCTCTTTGGTTTTAATTGAGTTATTACCGTTACTTTTTATATCGATTTATTTTATCATTTAAATAAGTTAAATGTCTTTGGTTTACAATAGTTGCTGAAGGTTTTGATTCCAATCTTTATTGCGTGAGTTAATTGCTTAGTTGGGATCAAATTTTGTTCTTAACGTGCAAGTGTTTTATGTGGTTTAATTGCTTGGTTAAAAACCCAACGTTCACTTGGAGTCGGTAATCTCCTATATAATAAAACATTCGAGCTATACGTTAAAAAAAGGAGAAATGAGATTGGCACCTTTCTTTATTATTTTCTCCTCCACATTCTTGAGTTTGTGTTTCAATTTGTTTTTATTTTATCAAGGGAAATATTTGAGTTGTTCATCTGACCCAAGTATTGCGAGTGTAAGCTTATGAGGGTCATAAGTTGTTGTATCCTAGAGGGTAGGGCGCCATACAATCTTGCTACACCGAGACATGGTCTCTGAGGGGTGAAATATACTCTTAAGGACAGTGAATGACACGCCTCAACCTAAAACTATTTTTCTACTCAAGTATCAATGGAGACCAAATTCTACATCCCAAAAAATAAGTATTTTACAGTACTTCCATTAATTTTATTTAATCTACTATATCAATGTAAATTATAATTTTCTAATATATATTTTCTGTGAAATTTTGCAGGAAAAGTAGCATCATTCAACCAAATTTCTCCAACACATCCTCCATTGGCTAGAAGTCTTGTACAACTCAAAAATCTTACGATATCCAGGTGTCAAATCATGGAAGAGATAGTACCAACAAACGAATCCAATGAGGAAGATACAGATCATAACATGTTTAGTCAGCTATAAGATCTAAAGCTACAATTTCTTCCGAACCTCAGCAGATTCTGCTCAGCACGTCGTTCTATTAATTTTCATTCCTTGGAGATATTGCATCTAAAGGATTGTTCTAAATTGGAGACATTCATCTTTGATCCCATGAGTACAAATAGCACAATCAACAAAGCAACTGAAGAGATCAGGGACTCCATGGAGAATATTGGGACTGATGCACAATACTTTCTTTTTGACGAAAAGGTAAGTTATGCCTTTATTTCTCGTTTTTCTTTCAGCGTTTATTTCTCATTATTCTTTCATGCATATTGTTTCTTACTAGGATTGAAATTATATCCAAGTTACAATTCATTTAAACGGTATATTAATTTATTAGTTTTTTATTGAGAAAGAAAAGGTGTTAGCTTTTATTTAGTATACAATATTCAATGATTCATATTATGACGAAAGTATGATCCATTCTGGAAAGTCTATTTATAATGAAATATGGTGTTCAATAGAAATGTGTTACCGGTAGCACTTCAACTAGAATATCTTATATATTAAATTAATAGACTAATAAACTTTGAGGCCAACTTTTCTTTTTCAGTTAATTGTCATATTAGACCTTTACTTTTTGTCTACTCATTTTAGAATTTATACAACTAATTAGCATGTAAATTGTCATTTCCGTAATTAAAGATGAATTGTAAACTAAAATATCTTTCCCTTCCAAATGATGGAAGAGATGGTATCAACAAGTGGATACAATCAAGAGCATACAAATAACATGTTTTGCAATCTAAAATATCTTTCCCTTTCTTTATGCATTTATTTCCGATTAATGTGTCCTGTTAGACGTGTAGATGTCTAACCCATTAAAGTGTGGTCTTATAATCATCAAAGGATTCTAAAGACTTGATATCAATTAGGAGTTCAAGTGCAACTAAACCGGCAGCTCTATTTAAGTTAGTGTTTTAAGGCTAATATAAGAGCTAAAAGGATTCCTATTTAATTGTGGATTAGAAGTTATAAACCTAATGCAATAAGGACTTCTTAAGAGTTTCTTGATGGGCAAGACTCTTAGGTAGATGCATATAAATACAAGTGCCCCTGCTCAACCGATCAAGCCAACCCACACAAAAGAATTCACCCCATCTAGAATGAGTGTATGAAGGGATCGGATTGAGGAGATGTGCTCTTGTATAGCCTTGATGTGTGTTCTATCATGTGTAGTCATTATAGTTTACATGTGGTATCAGAGCCTAGGCTGCATATTTTAGAACCGATAGAAATTACCCACCTTTTCTGTTACTCTGCAATACGGCTCTTTGGAATTAATAAGGCGACAATTCTTCCTCTTTTGCTACCTCTTGACAGATCCATTATTCTGATTTTGAGGTATGGCTGTTTTATTGAATCTAACTTGATTGCGCTGCTTTTGAATTGGCTTCAACAGACTTGTGTTGTCCATGGTTTTATGCCTCACTAAAAGTAAACATAAAGTTTGTGTTTTTATTTTATTTGTATCCTTAGTTAACATGCAGATTGATGTTGGCTTGTTTTCGTTTGACTTACCTTTTGACTTATCAACATCCATGCGGCATATCTCTTCCCATTAATAATGTATAATAATAAAGTAAACTAAGGAAAAGTTTTGAGGTCCGATGGAAATTGACTTAAGCATGTATATGGTTTTTAGTTTCAATCTCAAATTTTGCAGCATGATAAACATGGCTTCAGTTTTGATATCTCCTCAAGCATGCTTAAATTTCATAAGTTGGATAAGTACTTTCTTTGCGGCAAAAGAATACATGCACAAGTATATATATTTAAGATAAAATTGGGGTTTTTAGTTTCAGTTTCAGTCATTGATGTTAAATTGACCCAAGCATGTTTTGTGTTGATTAAGTAATCGATTCTGTCATGAACTGTTTTGCCGTGACTTGTTTGGAGAAATATATTTAGCGATTCTTTGATCAATTATTTAATGCCATGATTAATTAAGTTGAGTTTTAGGTTTTTATACATAAGCATAACAAGTGTATATATGCATAAAGGTTTAAAGCACTAAACCAGAAAGATAAAAATCTAAAAAATAAAACCTTTAAAGTACATGTTATTTCTTATATTTTATGGCATTAACATATTTTATTAAGCATGTCATGATATAAAGTTCTTTATCATTATTCATGCTTGAAAGTTTATTGATCAAAGACTGGAGATCTCGAATATTGCATTAGTTAAGCGAGCCACAGCAGCTTAACTATTGCAGATTCATTTTCCAATCTAAAGATTGATCAATAATTGCATCACAGCTAGTAGCCTTTTGTGCTATTTTCATCCATAGATGAAAAGAATACAAATTGATGACAGATGTGATGGAACAACATAGAGAAAGGGTTTGTGTAAACTAACAGGAAATTTCTTGATCCACAGATGAGAAATTTTCCTGTACAAGAAGTTTACTCATACCTAATTCGTCTAGTGTTTTGGAGCATGTTTAACTTATGACCCACAGGTGTGAGTTAATAATGTTTAAGTAAAGCTTCCTGGGGAAAGTTTATCCACGTACATTAATGGTGGAGTGACCCAGAAGATAACATATGTGAATTAATATAGGAATTTCTCTCTATCCACATATGTAGGGATTAATTAACCTACAAAAGAAATTCATATATCAACTCTTTTGGTGATCACTAAAAACATGTTTGATTCTCAACCCACAGGTGTGAATCAATAATGTACAGATATTTAAGCACTATGAGACAGCTTATTCAGATATGTTTGTGTTTTAAAGACTTTTCGGAATGTCACAATAAACCTTAACTCCATTAGGTGCATATACGGTTTTGTTTTGTTTTATGGATTGTAACATGATACGTGTCCTATTTATTGGTTTTGATAAATCTCACGTGCTTAAGTTGCTGATAATAATTTATTAATAGTGATCTTAAATAGTCATAAAAGTTGTTTTCATGACTCAAGGAAAGATAAATATGGTTGATCACATAAAGGGAAACGTGAGCTATTTTGGAACTTTCTTTCTTGGCTATATTGTTTGTTTATGTACGGACATGTTTGAGACTTGGTTGCCTTTTGTATGCATTTAAGTGAATGTTTTGTAGCATCAATGCACCTTCACATGTAAAAGGATTGATCCGTAGGTGATTTGGAGTAAACCATTTATAGTTGGACTGATCCACATGTGTTAAAAGTATTAATTCGATCGTATTTGATGGATTGAATCATGTAAAGTTGGATTAATCCATAAGGCTGTGTCCGTCATAAAATAAATTGGCTGTTTTGTGAGGTCATGCAATATGAAGCTTAGATCATGTTTAAGGATATTGTTTTACTGTTATTTCTTAATTGAATGAGTTGCGTGGATCAAATTGCACTTCTAATTAAGGCTCACTAATTTTGTGTCAAAAGTGGCACATTGCAATATATAAGATACTCAAGATACGAATGATCTTTGATTGCTCGAAGTGTTTAAACTTGATAAAGTGATATTTTATATTTTACTTTTGTGATATGGTATTAATTGTTTTGCACCTACATGGAACTTAATGTTGAATGTTTAGAATGCATAAGGATGACTAAATTTTGAGGTGTATATTGTTAGCATTCATAAATTTATAATAATTTTTCAGTTTTGAACTACGCTAACATGTCATCTATTAGGGTGAATTTATAATTCAAATTAACTAATGATAAAATTAGGTGAGAAGGAAAATTTTCTAAGGTTTCTGTAGGCACTGATTTTATGAAAATATGTTGAGAATTGAATTTTTGGTGAATTTATAAAGTTGAAACAGATGCACAGGAATTTTTCCTGACAGTTTCTGCATTGTGTATAAATGTTGTTGAATAACTCACCTAAAGATCTTCAAATGATCTGAATTTTTGACATGTTAAGCATATACATGTCTTCGTAAATTCTGAAAAGTTTCGTGATTATTGGATGTATAGTTTATTTGTGAGAATTTTATTAGTGATCTGTGTTCAGGAAAAGTATGTGCTGACAGATTTTCTAAGTAATTTTGTAGATCTATTTTAGACCTTTTAATTAGCTATAAATGACTATATATTTATTTTAGGTATGAAGATTAATGTCTCTAGTTTGTTTCCATGAAATTTGATGCTAATCCGACTTATAAATTAATTGTGGTAAATTCTCAAGTAATCACATGTCATTGCTGGAAATTTCTTGACAGTTTGTGCATTTAGGCTTATACTGTGAAGTACATTAGGAGCACGCCTTGAAAGTTCTTTTACACCATTTTGTCATAGTATTTCTAATCATAAGGTTATTGTTGCACTATATATTGAAGTAGCAAAGTAGTGAGTGTTTGCCCAAGTGGGAGAAGTGATGTAAAGTTTTGGGCTTCACACTCAAGACCTTATATCTTGTATTTTGATAAAGCTCATAAAGTTTTTGGAACATACTTGGAACTGTTTTCTGGTTGTTACACATTGAAGTTTTACATCTTAAGTGTTGGTTTTATGCATCTAAATATTTTCATTACCAAATTTTTTGGATACCTAGCTGTTTCATTTTTGGCTACTAAAGTTCTTACCTTGCTTACGTTTTTTATTTTATGCATTGGTTAAAGAAAATTTAATTGATTTTTAAAGTACAAAGTGAATAAAGTTTATTGCATTCATTACAGTTTGGTTATTTCTCAAACTAAGTCCAATCTGCATGACATGTTATATGTTTTTCAAGATATGTGTTAGTAAAGTACTATTTTGAGAAATAAATTGAAGGAATTAAAGTTGAGGCCTAATCCTGAGGAAACAATTTTAGTGAAAATAATATGATTTGTTCTATGCTCATTTCTTGATACATTTTTGGTGCAAAATGTTTGATGAGTGGGAGCATTCAATGATCTTCTTTGTTGCATACATTTAGTTTTGACTGTTTATGATTAATCACTTAATGTTCCAGTTCTTCATTAAGGGTTTTAAGGCTAATACGAACAAAGATTGTTTGGATGTGTTAATTGTTATTGTTAATTCATATTTTCAGTTAACAGTGGTTAATCAATGACTTTTACCTTTCATTGAATTCATGATTACTACTAATAAGCATTAAGGTTTTTGTTTCAAGCTTGTAAGGTAGAAGGTAAATGAAAGGAAATTGCATTGGTTGATTGATTTACTGTATGAGGTTATTCCCAAAAGTATTAATGGGAAATTTGATTCGATTTTGGTTATGCCATTCATTTTCTATATGCAAAATCAGTGGGAGCCGAGTTTTATTCCACTTAATTTCATTATTTTCTTGGAGACAGTTCAGTTATTTTGTTTACTACTGTTTGGTTTAATTCTTTTAATAAATTATGTGACTTCAGATTTATGTTTATTATTCTTGACAAATGAATCCAGTTATATGTCATAATGCAGTATAGCTAGCTACAGTCACTGCATAAGACATGAATTCATACCAGAGTCATTAAGGAGAGATCTTGGTAATCTCTTAAGGGAGGGCGTATGAATGAAAGTGACCTTTGTAAACACAAATTAAGTTTGGTCATAATCATTCAGCATTCTAATCTTGACGGAAGTCTCATGTGATCTTGAGAGCTCGTATGTGTAATTATAAAGACTTTGAAATACTGAAATGTTCAATAAGTCTTGATAGTTCCATGCTTGTTCTTTTGATTGACAGCGACTTGATTAGGAATTATAGTTGTAAGGAAGACGATTCTAAGAACAAAAGGAGGAGGAAGAAGCTGAATTCTTGAAGTTGTTAGACGTGTAGATGTCTAACCCATTAAAGTGTGGTCTTATAATCATCAAAGGATTCTAAAGACTTGATATCAATTAGGAGTTCAAGTGCAACTAAACCGGCAGCTCTATTTAAGTTAGTGTTTTAAGGCTAATATAAGAGCTAAAAGGATTCCTATTTAATTGTGGATTAGAAGTTATAAACCTAATGCAATAAGGACTTCTTAAGAGTTTCTTGATGGGCAAGACTCTTAGGTAGATGCATATAAATACAAGTGCCCCTGCTCAACCGATCAAGCCAACCCACACAAAAGAATTCACCCCATCTAGAATGAGTGTATGAAGGGATCGGATTGAGGAGATGTGCTCTTGTATAGCCTTGATGTGTGTTCTATCATGTGTAGTCATTATAGTTTACATGTCCGCCATTAGTGAAAAAAGGTTTATGAGATGAATATATATACATGTAGGATTTCCTAGCTTGGAGAGGTTGATCATCCGTGACCTACCTGTATTGAGGACTATATGGCACAACAGACTTGCCCCAAACTCCTTTTGCAAGCTCAAGAAAGTTGAAATTTGGAGATGCGACACTTTAATTAATATCTTTGCGCCAAGTATGATGGGAAGATTGAATGCTTTAGAAACCTTAAGAATACAAGAATGCAAGTCACTACAAGTGGTATTTGAACAAACATATGACACATCAACTACTCAGTTGAAAACTTTTGAGTGTCCAAATCTTGATTCTATAAAAATTTATTGGTGTGAGAGTTTGAAAAATATCTTTTCAGCCTCAGTGGCCAAGGGTCTTCAGCAGCTGAACGAGATGTATGTGGAGATTTGTGGAATATTGGAAGAAATTGTTGCCAAGGAAGAAGTAGAAACTACACCTGAGTTTGTGTTCGCTAAAGTAACACTTGTGCAATTTAAAAATCTGCCCCAACTGAGAAGTTTCTATCCGGGGTTGCATGTTTCCAAGTGGCTATTACTCAAAACATTGAGATTCTTTCCAGGAAAGATTTGATTCGGGCCTTATCTGTACACCAATCAAACAACCTTTTTTGTTAGTTGACAAGGTACAAAATTCTCTTACACTATTTGCTCCTGTAGCGAAACTCCTCTCTATATATTTTCTTTGCAATTTTTATTATTATTAAGTATTACAGATTTTTCTTTTATTAAAATGATTTGTTGGCCTCCACCTTGTCAAAAAATTTAAAGCACGTCCATTGAATAAAAACAATAGTCGAGATTAAAAGGAGTAGTAATTTACTATATATATGTATATAAAACAAAATATAGACTTGGAAATTTAAATAGAGAAAAAAAAAACTTTTGAAAGTTAAAATAATTCAGTCGGTGACATAAGATGAATATAGTGTCACCAAGGATCCAGGAACACCTTGGTCACTTGCCGTTAGATCTCATCCAACTGTAAATAATGATTCAAGTCTTAAATAATTTAAAAAACACTTTCTGAAATTTCAATTACACCAACAAAAAAAAACAAAAAAACTAAATGCTTAAACCCACTCACTGTCTTGCGTTTCCCTTTCACCCTCCAGAAATGCCTCCTTTCTTTTCTGTATTGGATTCCCCAGTAGAGTACATGAAATCAACAAATAAGACCATATAAAGAAAAACTGAATAAACACTGAATTTAGCCAAGAAACGAAAAACCCAAAGAACCTCACAAAAATCGAAACTGGAAATTGACAAGAGACTGAGGGAGAACAGAGGCCAAGCGAACACCACCGAATATAGTATTTAGTTATGTAACTGGCCAAGTGGGTTGACAATGACATCTAGACGTTGATATTATTTAAGGGTAATCCATTCCCCAACTTGGAAAGGTTATATTTGGACGAGAACACGAAGATTCGGTATGAAGCGCATGGTCCACACGGAGGAAGAAGTAATGTGAGCATGTCAGAGCTGAAACAATTGCATCAACTAACAGCATTATGTGGAAGCAAATTATCCTAGTGTTGGCTGCGCAAATCTCACGGCTTGGTGCTCCGGGCCGAGGGGATATGCGTCAACACGTGACGCCCTTCTTTTGGATGCGGTGCGGTTGTGCGCGGGCGTGCCAGCATGATCTACCGTGCGTCGAGGGGGTGATGTGTTTGGATAAAATGGTTTAAGTGGTGCGTCTGTTTGAGTTCGACTTCTAATCAAACGATTGTGGCCGAGAGAGGAACTGATCTCCGCCGTCAGGTTCACGGCCTGAGCTACAAGGCCGTTTGGCGGTGGCGTTGGTGGTGGGTTTTGGGCAGTGTTCCGGCGCGTTGCTTAGAGAGCGACGGTCGTATGATATATGGGGTGGATGGGAGAGTAACAGAGATGGTGCTTCGGCGCCTCGAAAAATCGAGGGTCATATGATATATTGATGAATGGATTTTCCTTACAATCTATCACTACTCCTAGGAAAGCAAGTAAAGGTATTGAAAGTGCATTACAGGAAAATATAATTTGCTCCGTGGGAGGCTTTTGGTTTGGTGTTTGAACCCTTTGAATGTAGCTCGAGCTTAGTATTTATAGGAAAAGCTCTGGAGGAGTAATCGAGGCTGAAAATCCGCATGGTGGAGCCTGATCAGAGCAAGTGGGTAGTCCAATCGACATTTGGGATCGTGAAGCATGGTGGTGTGACCCCATAAATCCCGGTAAATCTCAGCCGCCGCTCTGATCGTGGGTTCTGCACCCCTGGCCGTGGAGACGCATTTAATGCTCTGATAGCTGGTGACCTAATCTCTCAAGCTGTAAGAATGTTTGCGCCTAACCACCCTGATTTCCTTCACCAAACCCTGACTTTAGTCACTTCCCTTCTTCCGTCGTGCATTAAATGCCTTTTCGCGGCTAGTGGGTTTGCTGCAACAGTCAGAGGCGTTACTTCATTAAATGAAGTGTGGGACCTTGTTGCCACGTGGCGATTTAACCTTGATATCTTCGGCCGTGTCTCTTATGCCCTTTGGCCTCGGCCGTTGCGAGGCCGAGAGGATTCCGCTTTCGCAACTTTTCTTTTGTTTTTTAGGAAGGCAAAATGCCTAATGAACCGCCACGTTTCAGTTCAAGAGTAGGTGCTAGGGTCGAGAGGAAGTCCCTTCGGCCAGTTTATGACCGTGATTTATTAGGCACAAACACCTAGGTAAAATAATTAAGCCAATCAATTTGGGAATTATTTGACCTAATTTGGAGTTACTCGATTTAATTAGGAGTTACCTAATTTGATTGGGAGTTACCTGATTTAATTGGGGATTTAGTTGATTCTTGCCTTAATCAGGGATTTGATTTAAATCAAATCCCTAATTACACCAATCTCGCCAAATCAAGAAAGAATAATTCCTTTCCATCTATGGAATTATTTTTCTGAAACCCTAGCCTCTGAGGCTTCTATAAATAGATAGTTACGCACAAAGGTTGAGGTATGTCTAAAATTCTATCTGAAACTCTGCATAAATTCTCTCTTACAAACCCTAGCCGCCATACTCTTTCTCTCTCTCACACAAGGCTCCGGCCACCACACACAGCTCCGGCCTCCCGGTTTACACCATACATACAACTCTGTACCCTTTCTGTTAGCTATTGTTTTCCTACAAATATTTGAACTAACTTAGGCATCGGAGGGCATTTGACCAACACCCCTTGAGTGTGGTCCTCTTATTCCGATTTATTTTGCAGGGAGAAAGAGAGGACGAATGGGAAGAAGGAATCTTAGACGAATATTCCCGTGGGACGAAATTCGCTCCCACAAATTGGTGCTTTCATTGAGAGCGCGAAATAATACTCAAAGCGTGCTCCAAATCCATTTTCCACACTTTATTTCAAACAACCATGGTTGATACAAGACGTACGAAGAGTAACACCATCACGACGGACCCGTCTCATGGTTTGGTGGTGGAAACCTCGCTGCAACCGCACGGAACCGTGGCTACCAACACTCTGCAGCCGCCTTCTCAAGTTGTACAACCACCTTCAGTTGTTGGAGTACCAGAATAGCCACTGCAAACAGCTGCTGGAATTGTAAAACAGCCGCTGCAGACAGCTCCTGGAATTGCAGAACAGCCACCACATGGCTTCGTGACCTCCAACCTTGCACCCACAAGCGCTAGCTGCCAGAGCTGCTCTGCCGCTCCATCTTGCCGCCAAAACACAGCAGCAGCCGCACCACTCAGCTACCGGATTTGCTACACAGCCTCACAGCTACTTCGACGCCGTCAGAGACTTGGAGCAGATCCATTCTCTCCCTCCTCTGCAACCACACTTGACGTATGCACCTGTTTACGCATCTAACGGAGCCCTAGCCCATATGCCATTGGGCCCAATTGACAGGACCCGACCCAAATTTCACTTTGGAATCCGAGCCGAACCCTGTGCGTGTTCGACACCTGGCAGGTGCCGGGCACAAATGACCTAATTGCCATTCTAGTCAAAATTCAAATAAAACTAGGGTTTGACTTCTGCCAAAAAATTTAGCAGAGTCTCCCCTGTAAATTGACCAATCCCAAAATAATACCTGTCAAACATACAAATAAATATGTACACCAACTGTCATCATGCAAATAATTACATTCTAACAGTTAAACATACATTCAAGGGCAATATCAGAGCTCTACACATAATAGGTTACAAGTATAATACAATTATACATAACCCTACATTGAAAAATGACGTGGCGGAAGGTGGTCTCAGCCCGGTGGTGGCGCACTGACGCACGACTACTGCCTGGGGGGGCAAAACATTAAAAAGGTGAGTGGACCAAAAACGAAGTTTTCTAAAAATACATAAGAACGTACTAACCCCACTTTAAAAACAATTATGAAACTAAATCACTTCTTATAGATATACTCGTACTGAAATCAATGCATTCATATCTATATATATATAGTCAATCACACATTTGATCAAACATTAATTCATTAAAAGCATTGAAATCAACTTTTTTCTACCACCTAGGTGTACCCATTTATTATTCCGTCAATTCCTTATAATCCGTCAATTCCTTCCTCGTGCCACTGGAGTGATATGTCCTTGCAGACCTCGGGAAACACAAAGTTACCCGAGCCAGAAATTCTTCAAATTGCCGGCCCAAACTCATATCATAGGTGTAACACCTAATTTGGAACCACTTTTGTTCTTGGACTAGGGCCAAAAAGTGGCTGGAAGTGGCCGGAATCACGATCTCAAAACTCGCAGAACTTTGAATCCAAAATCAACCCACCAAACCTCTTAATCTCTCAAATCCTACCCAATCATCAATTACAGGATGAAAAATAGTCAAAAATCCATACCTCACTCGACTGGATTGGTGGTCGGAGGAGAGAGAAATCACCGGTGAAAATTCTGTCAAAAACCGGCGATTTCTGCGACTGATTCCGGTGGGATCCGAAGGCGGTTGGCATCGGGAAGGGCTGGGGTGAGGTGGCGGCGCCGCGGCGATCCTTCCTGTGGTGGTGGTTTGAAAGGAGGGGGCGACGGGCTGAACGGAACAACCCCGGGGGGGGGGGG